AAGCCACTGCGCCTTCGGTGGAGCTCCCTGGGGGGCCACGGAACTTGTGAGGAGTGTGCCGAGATGGAGCGGGAGCGCCCTGCGAACCTTGCCACTCCGCCTTCGGAGGGGCTCCCTGGGGGGCCACGGAATTTGTGAAGGGCGTGCCGGAACGGAGCGGGAGCGCCCTGCGAACAGGAAGCAGAAGGCATTATAGCCGGAGTGCAGTATCCCCAAACAGGGTTTTTAGACCCACTGCGGTTTCCAAGGTCGATTGCGTGCCTGTCCAGTGCGGGCTGGCATGTCATGTTAAAACATGCCTCCTCCTCCTCCTCCTCCTCCTCCTCCTCCTCCACCTCCTCTTCATCCCGAACGGCATCTTGGAGCCCAGAGTTGCGAGGATGTCTCCAGCGTAACGGGCTGGACCACCTTGCTCACGGCATCTCAGAGCGCAGAGTTGCGAGGATGTCTCAGGCGAGACGGGCCGGACCACCTCGCGCGCGCAGGGCATCTCGGAGCCCAGAGTTGCGAGGATGTCTCTAGCGTGACGGTCTGGATCACCTCGCGCGCGGCATTTCGGACCCCAGAGTTGCGACGATGTCTCGGGCGAAACGTGCTGCGAGGAAGTCTCAGGCGAAACGGGTCTCCTGGACCGCGCCTGGGGCTTCCTGAAGCCTCTTGGGGCTCCCAGGGGGGGATATCTAACATGTGGCCGTCGGGGCCCCCCAAAATGGGGAGGGGGCCACAAGAGCAGGAAAAATCAACGAATCGGCATCGGATGTGTATTAACTTGACACGTTCTGATAGGGGGCCTCCTGGGAGCCTCCTGGGAGCCTCCTGGGAATCTCCTGCGGACCCCTGGGGGCTGTCCTGGGCGTCCTGCGGCCTCCTGAAGCTCTCTGGGGCCTCCTGGGGCTCCCAGGGTCCCAGGGGAGGATATGTAACATGTGGTCTTCTGGGTCCCCAGGCTGGACCACCTCTTGCGCGGCATCTGGGAGCTCAGAGTTGCGAGAATATCTAGTGCGAAGCACGCCGGACCACCTTGCGCACGGCATCTCAGAGCTCAGAGTTGCGAGGATGTCTCAGGCGAGACGGGCCGGACCACCTCGCGCAGGGCATCTCGGAGCCCAGAGTTGCGAGGATGTCTCGGGCGAAACGGGCTGGACCACCTCTTGCGCGGCATCTCGGACCCCAGAGTTGCGACGATGTCTCGGGCGAAACGTGCTGCGAGGAAGTCTCAGGCGAAACGGGCCGGACCACCTCGAGCGCGGCGTCTCAGAGCTCCGCGTTGCGTGAGCCTCCCCGGGGCCTCCTGGGGCCTCCTGGTGACTGGGGCTTCCTCCTGGGCCTCCTGTGGCCTCCTGGACCCCACCTGGGGCTTCCTGAAGCCTCTTGCGGCTCCCAGGGAGGGATATCAAACCTGTAGCCGTCGGGGCCCCCCAAAATGGGGGGGGGCCACAAGAGCAGGAAAAATCAACGAATCGACACCGGATGTTTATTAGCTTGACACGTTCTGATAGGGGGCCTCCTGGGGCCTCCTGGGAGCCTCCTGGGAATCTCCTGCGGACCCCTGGGGCCTGTCCTGGGCGTCCTGCGGCTTCCTGAAGCTCTCTGGGGCCTCCTGGGGCTCCCAGGGTCCCAGGGGGGATATGTAACATGTGGTCTTCTGGGCCCCCAGGCTGGACCACCTCTTGCGCGGCATCTGGGAGCTCAGAGTTGCGAGAATGTCTTGTGCGAAACGGGCCGGACCAACTTGCGCACGGCATCTCAGAGCTCAGAGTTGCAAGGATGTCTCAGGCGAGACGGGCCAGTGTCTCGGGCAAAACGTGCTGCGAGGAAGTCTCAAGCGAAACTGGCCGGACCACCTCGAGCGCGGCGTCTCAGAGCTCCGAGTTGCGGGGGCCTCCTGGGGCCTCCTGGGGCCTCCTGGGGACCTCCTGGGGCTTCCTCCTGGGCCTCCTGCGGCCTCCTGAGCTCCACCTGGGGTTTGCTGAAGCCTCTTGGGGCTCCCAGGGGGGATATCAAACCTGTGGCCGTTTGGGCCTCTCAAAATGGGGGGGGGGGGAGCACAAGAGCAGGAAAAATCAACGAATCGACACCGGATGTGTATTAACTTGACACGTTCTGATAGGGGGGGGCCTCCTGGGGCCTCCTGGGAGCCTCCTGGGAATCTCCTGGGGACCCCTGGGGCCTGTCCTGGGCGTCCTGCGGCCTTCTGGAGCTCTCTGGGGCCTTCTGGGGCTCCCAGGGTCCCAGGCAGGATATGTAACATGTGGTCTTCTGGGCCCCCAGGCTGGACCACCTCTTGCGCGGCATCTGGGAGCTCAGAGTTGCGAGAATGTCTTGTGCGAATTGCGCACGGCATCTCAGAGCTCAGAGTTGCGAGGATGTCTCAGGCGAGACGGGCCGGACCACCTCGCGCAGGGCATCTCAGAGCTTAGAAGTTCAAGGATGTCTCAGGCGGGCTCCCAGGGTCCATGGGAGGATATGTAACATGTGGTCTTCTGGGCCCCCAGGCTGGACCACCTCTTGCGCGGCATCTGGGAGCTCAGAGTTGCGAGAATATCTTGTGCGAAGCACGCCGGACCACCTCGCGCAGGGCATCTCAAAGCTCAGAGTTGCGAGGATGTCTCAGGCGAGACGGGCCGGACCACCTCGCGCAGGGCATCTCAGAGCTTAGAAGTTCAAGGATGTCTCAGGCGGGCTCCCAGGGTCCATGGGAGGATATGTAACATGTGGTCTTCTGGGCCCCCAGGCTGGACCACCTCTTGCGCGGCATCTGGGAGCTCAGAGTTGCGAGAATGTCTTATGCGAAACGGGCTGGACCACCTTGCGCACGGCATGTCTTCGTCTTCGTCGTCTGCTCTCTCTCTCTCTCTCTCTCTCTCTCTCTCGCTCTTCTTCGTTTTCTTGATTGGCGAGCGCGTTTTCTTGATTTTTCATTGTGTTTTCTTGGTTTTCTTGGTTTTCTTGATTTCCTGGCCCTCCCACGGGCCCCCGAAGACTCGAGGCCTGCCGACGGCGCCTTGGGAGGCAGCACAGAAAATCAAGAAAACCAAGAAAACGAAGAAAACACAAGGAAAAATCAAGAAAACGGCACCGCCAATCAAGAAAACCAAGGAAAACCAATGCTTTTCTTGGTTTTCTTGATTGGCGGGCGCGTTTTCTTGATTTTTCCCTGTGTTTTCTTGGTTTTCTTGGTTTTCTTGATTTCCTGGCCCGCCCGCGGGCCCCCGAAGACTCGAGGCCTGCCGACGGCGCCCTGGGAGGCAGCACAGAAAATCAAGAAAACCAAGAAACCAAGAAAACACAAGGAAAAATCAAGAAAACGCGCCCGCCAACCAAGAAAACCAAGGAAAACCAATGCTTTTCTTGGTTTTCTTGATTGGCGGGCGCGTTTTCTTGATTTTTCCATGTGTTTTCTTGGTTTTCTTGGTTTTCTTGATTTCCTGGCCCGCCCGCGGGCCCCCGAAGACCGCAGGCCTGCCGACGGCGCCCTGGGGGGCAGCCCAGAAAACCAAGAAAACCAAGAAAACCAAGAAAACACAATGAAAAATCAAGAAAACGGCACCGCCAATCAAGAAAACCAGGAAAACCATAGAATCCAATGCTGGCGAGGAAGGGCTGCGGGCACGCTTATGAGATGATCGTGGATGCCTCTGGGGCTTCCTCGGAGGAGGAGGGGAACTTAGTCTTCGGACAGTACATACCCATTCGAGGTAGGAGCAAGAGGAGCAGGAAGGAGGAGGAGGAGGAGGAGGAGGAGGAGGAGGAGGAGGAGGAGAGAACTGAATCTGGCGCCTGACCGTTTTGGGCTCGTGTCACAGGCGCTGTACCCCCCGTCGTGGTCAGAGGCTTCTTCCTCCGAGCTCGGGGGACTTGGTCGTCGGACTGTACATGGCCCGTGCGATGTGCTGGAGAGGGAACCTGAAAAGGGTTCCTGGCCCGTTCGATGTGCTGGAGAGGGAACCTGAAAAAGGCTCCCTGTCCAGTGGCGGGAGGGGAAACCTGAAAAGGCTTCCTGGTCCGTATGGTGTGCTGGAGAGGGAACCTGAAAAGGCCCCCTGTCCCGCAGCGGGAGGGGAAACCTGAAGAGGCTTCCTGGCCCGCATGGTGTGCTGGAGAGGGAACCTGAAAAAGGCTCCCTGTCCCGCAGCGGGAGGGGAAACCTGAAGAGGGTTCCTGGCCCGTATGGTGTGCTGGAGAGGGAACCTGAAAAAGGCCGCCTGTCCCGCAGCGGGAGGGGAAACCTGAAAAGGGTTCCTGGCCCGTACGGCGTGCTGGAGAGGGAACCTGAAAAGGCCCCCTGTCCAGCGGCGGGAGGGGAAACCTGAGATGGCTTCCTGGCCCGCGCGATGCGTCGGAGAGGGAACCTGAAAAAGGCCCCCTGTCCGGGCGAGGGAGGGGAAACCTGAAAAGGCTTCCTGGCCTGTGCGATGCGCTGGAGAGGGAACCTGAAAAAGGCCCCCTGTACAGTAGCGGGGGGAGGAGAGGGATGAGGAGGACGAGGAGGAGATGGATGAGGATGACGAGGAGGAGGAGGAGGAGGACGAGGAGGAGGAGGAGGAGGAGGAGGAGGAGGAGGAGGGGATCGCAGCAATATCACAAGCAGAACCAATAACTCCTTTCTGGGAGCGCCTTCCGATCAGAATTCTGTTGGGGATCACGTAGAAATGCCAGCGCATGGAAATCTGGGAAATCGATATCACTTCTTGTATTTATGGTTTCCTAATTAAAACCAGACCTCTGGACACCCATCAGCACGCGTCTAAGGCAATGGCAGCCGCGCCACATATCCCCCCTACGCATCAAAATCGTGCACAAAACCAGCACCAGCGCCAGCAGACTGCCATTCTAGAAATCGATATTGTTTCCTGTATCTATAGCTTGTTACTCAAAAGGCGGCCCTCGTCAGGATAACCATCTCGGACTGTAGCACACTCTCAGTCGCCACCCTGGCTCAAGTTTTCAAGGCACCCTCGGCTCGCAGGCGCAGCCCTCCGCGGCGCGGGGTGCAGGGGATGGCCGAAAGTCAGTTCTCCAGAGAGCTTGGCGAAGGAATGCTGGATGCTCCTGCGCCCGATGACTCTGGAGTTCGCCCGCCTTCTCGGTCCGCCGCAGTGAAGCGGGTCATCGAAGCGTGGGAGCCTGACGAGTTCGCAGAGCTTGTCGATCAAATGCGCCCGATCGAGTTCGAGCCAGAGGTGCTGCCCGAGGAGGAGACCCTGCGCGAGGCGAACGACGCGGTGACGGACGAGGTGGAGAACTTGATTTCTTCCTGGACGGTTCAACCGAGTCAAGTGATGAAGTCTGCCATGTACGTCGTGGCGATGTATGTGAAGGAGGATCACATCTGGAGTGCTTCCAATGACATATTGGCCACGCGCGTCATCGACCTGCTGTGCGGGGAGAGCTTCCGCGCCCACAAGGACGGCGTCTACTTGTACGGCAATGGAGACTGGGCGTTTGTCGAGGAGATCAAGTACCAGTACATCAGGAAGATCTTGGCGGTCCTCGGCTGCGCGGCGAAAGTCTTTGCATTCCTCGTCTCCAAGGAGACAAAGCGAGACGTGGCGGCTGTCTTTCAGGAGGTCGGACAGCACCATGGAGCGATCTCAGCCAACACCGCTGCGTGCCACGCTGACTTCGGTCGGCCCCGCCAGGAAGACCCGACCGCTTGGTCCAAGGAGGGCGGGCGCGTTGCGCTCGACCTCACGCAGCGCTACTCCACCAAAGGCAAGAGCACTGAGTTCATAGAGTCATATGGCCAGTTCTTCCAGATCCCGAAGCCGACGTCCGAGGGCGCCTTGGTCAACGCGCAGAACGTCACTTTGAAAATCTCCCGCGAGGGGTCCGCGGATGAAAGGTTCCGTTCTGTCAAGAAGAGCCACTCGAACAACTGCTACCTGGGCGTGCCTGTGTCGCTTGACTACACGCCATCTTGGCAGCACGAGGAGGAGATGCGCCTGTTCCTGTGCACTTCCTTCGCTGGGAACCCCGAGGGTCGCAGGATGGACATGGCAGCAGAAGCGTTAGTGTGGTACGACGTCCCCTCCCCGCAGATTGGCCTGATCATGGCGGGCGACGGCGGCAACGCCAAATCTGCCAAGGCTGCCCTGCGGGCGAACGTGCTGGGGGAGCACCGCCACTTCGTCTCGAGCGACGTGCTGCAAGTCCCAGAGGAATTCCGAAACCGAGGGAAGCATTTCGCGCGTGCCCGAGCTGCAACGGTGCAGGAGAATCAGGGCGGCGTGCCGTGGATCGAGGACGTGGTGAAGCGCTGGCTCAGTGGTGCGTACGTTGCCTGCCGAGCCCTCTTCGGGAAAAGTACTGGCCTGTTCAGCTGGCTCCGCTGCGTGCAGTACTTCGAGTGGAACCACGCCTACCCGTCCATCCGAGGCGATTGGCACAACGTGCATTCGCTGCGGTCCTTCTGGCGCCGCCTTGCCGTCATCGAGCTCGGCGCCGTGTTCACGAGCGACCCCTCCAAGGTGAACGTCGGTGGCAAGGTTTTCCACGAGAAGGACTTGACCGCATTCCTGGAAAGCCCAGAAGCCCGTCTCGTCTACATCCGTTCCTACCTCATTCCCTTCATGCAGAAGTACAACGCTGAGGAGTGCCGCCAGATCCTCAAGAACCCTTCCGCTGAAGTAGTGGAGGCGACTCAGCGCGTCGTGGCCCGAATGGCGAACGGCGGGTTGGAGCTCCCGAAGGAGTGGATGGGCGCTCGCGGTCGCCAGCGTGTTGCGCATGAGGCCAAGGCGCTGCTGATGGAGGTTCACGCGTGGCTCGGTGACGATTGCCTCAGCATCAAAATGTACGACCTCGTAAAAAAGAAAGACAATCCGATCCCTGGCACCATCACGGGGAAGAGGAGCGGCAAGTCGCGGTAGCATCACTTCGAAAACGCAGTCAATGATTACCCCTACATCTTCCGCATCGACGGGAGCAACGTGCTCAAGCTGAACGTCAAGCTGAACTTTCTCGAGGCCCTCCTCGACGCAGCTGGCCGCGACTCGCTCGCGGGGGGCCTGGAAGGGTGGGGTGTGTATTGGGGCCTGCGCTCGCAGCTCCGCGACTTCAGCCCCGGCGAAGAGCAGCGCCTGAACTCGGAGGTGCTGGTCGCCTCTGAGGTTGCTCGCAGCCTGACAGAGACAATTAACATCGTGGACTTGGAGAACGAAGTTGGCAACGAGGAGGGCAATGAGTTCGATTGCGCCAGGCGCTACATCGCGCGCCACCGCGAGAACGGCATTCGGAAGAGTGATTTCTCAAGCCTCACCGTCACTTACTACAGGAAGTACGACATGCAGGGGAGGGAGTACGCGCACGGCCCGAGCGCACAGGGCTTCAAGACGGCACTCAAGAAGCACGCGTTCCGCTCACAGTGTGACATCGACGCTTCGCACGGTGACGTCTTCGAGAACTACGACATTGATTGTGTCAGCGCGTTCATGCAGTTTCTGTGGAACGAGCTCAACGACGTTGTGGGCGGCGGCGCTGAGATCGAGTACGAGACGTTTACTGCGTATGTTCGTAACCCGCGTGGCTTCCGCAGTTTGCTGGCAAGCTACTTGGACATCGCTGTTAAGGAGGCCAAGAAGCAGCTCATCAGCATCCTCCACTGTGGCGAGCCGAAGGCTGAGCTGCCATTACTGTGGTCGCTCGCAGTCGAGCTTCGCACAGCGACCCGAGTGATCCTGGAGAAGCCGCGGTTCCATCACCTGAACTCGAAGTTCGCTGATCGGCGCTTCCCCATGGCGACTCGCCTGCATTATGCCCTGAGCGCCATCGAGGACGAGCTCATCATGAACGTCCACCAGGCATTGACCCGCGAGTTCGGCGAGGGGGTCCAGGTTCTCGTTTACATGTTCGACGGTTTGATCGTTCGCTTCGGCTCGCTGGGCAACGATGACAAGCTGCGCGACGTGCTGACCAAAGTCGGCGAGAAGGCCAACGTCAGCTTCACGTGTGAGAAGTTCTGAGTGCGGCTCAGTAGGAAGTGAGGGCGACGGAGCGCGCCCGCTTGGTGATCTGCGCGTCGGAGAGGACCCGGCGGGATATATTAACTGAGAGAAGAGGCACGGCTGCATAATGATTTCTAATTGCCTGGGACTTCTCCGTGCGAGCGCGGCACATCTATCAAACGCAAATAGGAAAACATTGACCGACGCATTGCAGCTCCGCCCTCGCCATGTCCCCCCTCGTTCACCGTTCCCTCGTTCTCGCTTCGCCCCCCATCCTCTTGTCCATCGTCGCCATCTCCGCATATCCTCTCCTGCGCTCGGCGAGGTCTGTTTCTCTGAGGAGGCATCGCCTTGTTCGTGATGCCATCGCGCCAGTTAGCACATCGAGCAGTCAGCGTTTGTTTGTTGCGTTGCCAGTTGGCTCAAGCTGCTTCAGGGCTAGCCGCTTCCTCTACCACGCCGCGCCCATGCCTCGGCTCGCTCGGAAGTGGTACCTCAAGACGGCGGGCACACAGAAGCACGCGGTGGCGGCAGGCAAGGGCGCCGCCAGCCGCGCCGCCAGGGCGAAGCCGATGAAGAACATGAGGACGAAGGGCAAGGGCGTCGCCAGCCGCGCCGCCACGCCGAAGCCGACGAGGGTGATGAAGACCATCGGCAAGGGCGCCGCCAGCCGCGCTGTCCAGGCGAAGCCGACGACGGCGATGAAGACCATCGGCAAGTGCGCCGCCGGCCGCAGCGAGAAGGCTCGCCGCACGAACTCGAAGTTCCACCAGGACGGCCTGACCTACGGCGGAGAAGCCACATCCGCCGCTCCCGACACGATCACGCTGCGTGGTTTGGAGCAGCCTTCGTTCGAGGAGATCGTCGGCTTGAGCCAGAACGCCGCGAAGAAGATGCTGGTGGAGGCGGGCGTTATCCCGCGCAGGTGCGAGGCGAAGTCATTCGCATGTTGGCAGTGCGGCGAGCAGATGGACAAGCAGGGAGAGGGCTTCAGGTGCATGGGGGCGAAGTGCGGTCGCCCGCGCCTGGCCGAACCTGACGCGGCCTTCACGCCGTTCCATCGCTGCGACTCCAGTGGCAACGAGCGCGACTACAGCATGTGCCTGCGTACCGCCTATGCCTTGGGATGCAAGGTGCCCAACGACGCAGCAGCTCAGTTTGTGCGCAGGAAGGGCGAAACCATCCGAGCCACTGTGCACAAGGTGCAGGACTTCTATGATGCCCACAAGGTAGCCCTGGCGTACACGGAGGTGGAGAACGCCTTCGAGACAGTCTTCAAGGACGACGTGGTCGAGCCAGACAGCTCCCGCATGGCTTGCAAGAAGTTGCGTGGCGGTGCTAAAAGCCACGAGGGGCGCGTGCTCGTGCACAAGGGCAGGTTCTCCAAGAAGTGGACGGCTAAGGCTTTGAAAGCAAGGCACTCCTCGGCGAAGCGCGGCTCTGGCGGCCCTGAGTCCCTCGAGGAGGTCCGCGGCCCTCTGGTTGGCGCCATGGGCCCTGGCGCCGTGTTAGCCCCAGACGGCGCGCGCGCCTTCCACTCCGCAGCCGAGGAGATCGGCGTGGCTTCTCTGTCTGGAGTGAACCACCAGAAGAAGGTGTTCACGCCCGTCACGAGGCTGCTGAAAAGCAAGCTGGCGCGGAAGACGGCTGCCATGCTGCGCCGCCATTGCCGCGGCAAAACCCCCGCTGTCCAGGAGACGAAGCTGTGCTTCAAGCTGGTGGCGGGGGACAACAGCGCCGAATCGACGCAAGGCCACATCAAGAACACTCTGCGCCGAGTCGGCAATGTCGGCCGCCACAGCACCGCCGAGTTCAAGAAGGCTGTGCAGACTTTGTCTGGCGCTGCCTTGCTGAGGCGGGCTGGTCTAGCGAGCGTGCTCGACGCGCTGCGTCGGTACAGGGTTGCGTGCACTAGCGGCGCAGTGCAGATGGCGCCGAAGGATTGCTTCCGCGCGGGACTGTGCAAATGGGCCCAGGCCTAGAGGAACCTCTAGTCTGTCAGCCCGCTGCATTGGCATTTTGCCGTAGATGCAGTTGCCGCCTCGGCATCAGATCGCGCGCGAGTGGGGCGCGCGCGACAGAAAAACCATGCGCCCTCCTTTCACATGCCCGCCAGGGAGAGGATGGGGAAAATAAGAGGGGGCGGACGAGGAGGGGGGTAATCAGGATAAGAAAAGGGATGAAGATGAGGACCAGGGAGAGGATGAGGAAAATAAGAGGGGGCGAAGAGGAGGACGATGCCCCCTCAGTCTGGGCAAACGGAGGGGTCTGGTCGCAACGTTGACCATGTGGCGCATCAGGAGCCCCGAGTCCTCGCTGGCAGAGAGAAGAGAAGTCGGAAGCGGAGGAGAGGAGAGGAAAGAAGAGATGAGCAGGAGTAGGAGTAGGAGTAGGAGTAGGAGTAGGAGTAGGAGTAGGAGTAGGAGTAGGAGTAGGAGTAGGAGCGAGAACGAATTGCAATCTGCAAGCCAGTCAAATGATCATCTTTGAAACTGTTGACCATAGATTATCAGTTGTACCAGAACATGTGTATCGTTATCCGATACGTAACCAGTTTGGCCCAGACACAATGCCAAGACGGCGGCGAACTGTGTGTTCGCGGCAAAAGGCAAGCGAACCGCGCCACCCGGGTCCCTTTTCAAGGGACTTGGGCTTGTGCGCCGCTTGCCGTGCCCGAGCGCTCCGGGCAGGCGGCAGCAATGGCGGTTCGTCGGGATCCGCGGAGAACAAACGGCTCGCTGGAGCTCCTGGCGGAGCGCAGTGTGGCGAGACGAAAGCTCGACGCGGACAGCAAAATGGCGACTGCCATCTGGATCTTGCTCGCCCTTTGACATGGGGGCCCCTTCGGCTCTCATTCGATTTGTTCTTACAGTTGCTAGCGCTGCTGCGCCGGCGCCGCTTGGCAGAAAAGGCGAAGCCGTGGCTTCAAGAGGACGACGTGCCAGCAGACGCGGGCGTTCCCCCTGAGGAAGCCCGTCGCGTGGTTGACATCATGACAGGCGCGAAGTTCGGGCATCCCGATCGGTGCAAGGATCGGGTTTCGCTCGAAGTCCTCCGGGCGATGAGGCGAGCCCGGTCCAGGACGCACGCTGTAGCGATTGCTCTTGCTGTTCGATGCAAGTCGAGCCCCCGGGGGCTGTCGGAGAAGATGGCGGCCGCCTCGCAGGCGGAGGCAGAGTCCCTGGTCCGACCCCGCAAAGACGGCACCGCCTACGAGCAGACTGGGAACGCCAAGGATCGGACGACGAGGACTATACACATCCACAGGCCCTGGCCAGGCCCATCTTGGGCCCAGGGGCGGTGTATACGCCCTCCTGGCTTGGTCAGGGAGGCATATGCACCGCCCCTGGGCCTAGGATGGGCCGGGCCAAGGGCTGTGGATATGTGTAGTCCTCGTTGCCCAAAAGGAGGATTTGGCGCGTGGGCTCTTCGCCGCGGCGTCGGCGGTGGAAAGGCGAGCCCCGTATCGCGACTGGCACCAGCTGGAGAATGCGACTGCGCAGCGGGTCCAGCAGCATTGCCGCGGCAAGTGTCGTGAGTGGTTCAGCGCCAGGCAGGCGGCTGCGGACCTCTGCCGCTTGCGCAGCTTCGTAGGCGGCCTCGCCAGCGGCATGCGGCCAGCCCACTGCGCCTTAGGGCCTGGAGCACGCGAAGGCTTCTACCTCGCAGAACGCGGGGAGAAACTTCGAAACCCTCGGTATAGGATGAAGCGCGTGCCACGCCGGTGTGCGTTTCTGCGCCAGACGGGCTTTTGTGAGTTCATGAAATTTGTGAAGAGGATGAATTTTGATGCATCTTGTGCCCGTGTGCGATACCAGCCTACGGAGGATCCGATGCCGCGTTAGGCAAAGTTGCGCGCGTCTGTTTGGGGATTTAAGGTTCGAGTTAGTGGGGCTACTTGCGATCACGAAAAAACCATCGCCATCATCATCATCATGATCATCATCGTCATCATCATCATCATCATGGTAATCTCTGTGGTCTCCGGGGCCCTTGGGGTGCAGTCAGAAGTGGCGCCTGTGGTTTTTTATTGCGATATCTCTATGTCTTCACAAAATGAAAACTCCGGGGATGCCAGGCCAATTTTTTTGCAGGCCGACGGCTTGTTTTTTCCTTTCGTGATATTCCTTGTGGTCTCCAGGGGCCCCGGGGCGCAGTCAGAAGTGGAGCCTGTGGCTTTCTATTGTGATATCATTATGTTTTGACAACATGAAAACTCCGGGGGTGCCAATCCAATTTTTTTCAGGCCGACGGCTTGTTTTTTTTTATTTTCGTTGTATTCCCTGTGGTCTCCAGGGTCCCCGGGGTGCAGTCAGGAGTGGGGCCTGTGGCTTTTATTGTGATGTGGTTATGTTTTCGCAACATGAAAACTCCAAGAAGCCAAGCCAATTTTTTTCAGGCTGACGGCTGGTTTTTGCACTTTTGTGGCGTACGTTGTGGTCTCCGGGGCCCCCGGGTGCAGACGCGGAGTGGCGCCTGTGGCTTTTCTTGTGAGGTGTTTATGTTTTGTTTAGGTCGACGGCTTGTTTCTTACTTGTAACATATCTGTTCATCTAACTTGATTATATTTTTCTGTATGGCTCAAGCAGTAATCAGCGAGGCTGACCGCGCTGCTCGCCTAAATTTATATATTTACCTGCTTGCTTCTCCACTCAACCATGGCTTATTTATACGGGTGGGAGATGAAACGCGGCTTCTTCCATGATCTGCAACCCCCAGGCGACGAAGACAAAGCGTGGGAATGTCAGAGTTGCCCTGGGTGCTTGGAACGCAGCGGCGTGGAGGCCCACCAAGCAGCTGACGTAGATGCGCCCCAAGCAGCTGATGTGGAGAGCGTCCCTGTATCTTGCGCGCCAGATTTTGTCGTGGCGAATTATCCGGCCGTCATATTCGAATCTATTCAGTCGTACGACCTCAAGATGAGTTCGGTACCAGGATACGTTTTCATGGTCGCAGGGGACATCGAGGTGATCGATGGCTACTCGATGCTACCGCTAGTCGGTGGAGGAGCTATTTAA